CCTGCCGCAGAGTGGCTGGGCCCGTGAGCCACAACTACTGAGCCTGCACGTCTGGAGCCTGTGCTCCACAACAAGAGAGGCCGTGATGGTGAGAGGCCTGCGCACCGCGATGAAGAGTGGCCCCCCGCTTCCCACAACTAGAGAAAGCCCTCGCACAGAAATGAAGACCCAACACAGCCAAAAATAAATAAATAAACAAAAACAAACAAAAAAAGCCAAGCATTAAAAAAAAAAATTACAATGAGGTATCATCACCTCACACCAGTTAGAATGGGCATCATCAGAAAATCTACAAACAGCAAATGCTGGAAAGGGTGTGGAGAAAAGGGGACCCTCTTGCAATGTTAGTGAGAATGTAAATTGATACAGCCACTATGGAGAACAGTATGGAGGTTCCTTAAAAAACTAAAAATAGAATTACCATATGACCCAGCAATCCTACTACTGGGCATATACCCAGAGGAAACCATAATTCCAAAAGACACATGTGGGCTTCCCTGGTGGTACAGTGGTTGAGAGTCCACCTGCCAATGCAGGAGACACAGGTTCGTGCCCCGGTCCGGGAAGATCCCACATGCCGCGGAGTGGCTAGGCCCGTGAGCCATGGCCACTGAGCCTGCGCGTCCAGAGCCTGTGCTCCGCAACAGGAGAGGCCACAACAGTGAGGCCTGCGTACTGCAAAAAAAAAAAAAAAAAAACACACATGCACCTGAATGTTCATTGCAGCACTATTTACAGTAGCCAGATCATGGAAGCAAGCTAAATGCCCATCTGCAGATGAATGGGTAAAGAAGATGTTATATATATATATAGATATATATTTATATATCTATATATAAAATGGAATATTACTCAACCATCAAATGGAGTGAAATTGGGTCATTTGTAGAGACGTGGATGTATCTAGAGACTGTCATACAGAGTGAAGTAAGTCAGAAGGAGAAAAACAAGTATATTAACGCATATATGTGGAACCTAGAAAAATGGTACAGATGAACCCATTTGCAGGGCAGAAATAGAGACACAGATGTAGAGAACAAATGTATGGACACCAAGGAAGGAAAGTAGTGGTGGGGTGGTGGTGTTGGGATGAACTGGGAGATTGGGATTGACATGTATACACTAATATGTATAAAATGGATAATAAGAACCTGCTGTATAAAAAAAACAAATAAAATTCAAAAAAAACAAACAACTGAAATGTAAGTCCTCCTCCCTGACCAGAATCTTGATTCCTCAGTTCCCTTCTCTATAGGGGAATTTCTTGGGTATCTTTCCAGAAATATTTTAAAGTTCCGGCACCGAGCACTAGCTCAGATCTTAGGGTATGATCTCCTTGCATTCTTTTTTCTGATACACAAATGAGGAGTATACAGTACTATTCTGCTTTTTTAAAAAAGAAAGAAAGAAAAGATGCTGAACATCACTAATCGTCAGGGAAATGCAAATGAAGACCACAGCGAGATATCACTTCATACCCGTTTGAATGGCTTGTATCAAAAAGACAACAAATAGCAAGTGTTGGTGAGGACGTGGAGAAAAGGGAACCCTTCTGCTCTGTTGGTGGGAATGTAAATAGGAGCAGTCACTATGTGAAAATAGTATGGAGATTCCTCAAAAAAGCAAAAGTAGAACTACCATATGATCCAGCAGTTCCACTCCTGGGTATTTATCTGAAGGAAAGGTAAACAGTAATTCAAAATGATACATGCACCCCTGTGTCTATTGCAGCATTATTTATAATAGCCACAATATGGAAGCAAGCTAAGTGCCCATCAGTAGATGAATGGATAAAGATGATGTGTTCTATACACACACACACGCACGCAGATACATGCATATACAGTGGAATATTACTGAGCCATGAAAAAGATTGGCATCTTGCCATTTGTGATAACATGGATGGACCTGGAGAGTGTTATGCTTAGTGAAATAAGTCAGAGAAAGACAAATACTGTATGATTTCAGTTACATGTGGCATCTAAAAAACTAAATAAGTGAACAAACATAACTAAAGAGAAACAGTCATAGAGAGAACAAACAGGTGGTTGACAGAGGGGAATGGGATGGGAGGAGGAGAGAAATAGGTGAGGGAGATTAAGAGGTACAAATTTCAGTTACAAAATAAATGAGTCACAGGTATGAAATGTACAGTGTGGGGAATACAGTCAATAACTACGTGCTATCTTTGTAATGATGACAGATGACAATGAGATGTATCATGGTGATCACTTTGAAATATATAGAAATATTGAATCACTAGGTTGTATACCAGGAGCTAACAGTATTGCAGGTCAATTATACTTCATAAACAAACAAACTCATAGAGAAAGATCAGATTTGTGGTTACCAGAGTTGTGGGGTGGTGGGAAGGGGAATTGGGTGAAGGTGGTCAAAAGGTACAAACTTCCAATTACAGGATAAGCAATTACTAGGGATGTAGTGTATAACATGATAAATATAATTAACAGCTATTTGTTATATGTGAAAGTTGTTAAGAGAGTAAATCATAAGGGTTCTCATCACAAGGAAAACATTTTTTTTCTATTTCTTTAATGTTTTATCTATATGAAATAAACTTACTGTGGGATTCATTTTGTGTTTTATGTAAGTCAAATTGTTAGGCTGTACACCTGAAAGTTATACAGTGCTGTATGTCAATTACATCTCAATAAAACTGGAAGAAAAAAATTTTAATAAGTAAGTAAAATAACTTAGAAAATGGATCTAGCAGGAACCGTGACCATTATACATCTATACTGTCTAAATAACTGAGGTAATCATATGGCGTGTTTTCATTTCCATTATTTAACAGGACCCTTCTTAGACCTCCTTTAGATAATGGAGTCATAAATTCTGTCCTTTATCCTTACTTTGGAAAATCCTGCCCTTCTTTGGCCATATACTTCAAGGGTTTTATTTAAATTCCCTCTACAGAAAATGAGCATTATCAAATTCAATTTTTCAAAGAGGAAATATGGAGTAATATTTGATAATTATGTGGGAAGAATTTAATGAAAAGAAGTATAGAATTTGAGAGGTTAGCCTTATCACAGTCTATATGAAATTAAATAACTTGGGTACAGTAGTGTGGCTGGAGAAAAAGGAAAGAAAACCGTATTTCTCTTAGTCTCTTTGTAGTTCTCTATACAAAGCTTATGTTCCTACACTGGCACTACTACCATTGTGGTTAGAAAATTAGAAGGCAGAAGAATCATCCATGTTTTCACAAATACTGTTCCCGCAAAATAAAATGGCAGGCCATCTCTAGGCCTCGTACTTCCAGAGTCCAAACGACATAAAATTTATAGAAGAGAATTTTCTAAAATAGAAGGAATCACTGTACGTGATTATCTGTAGAAAGCACAACACTTGGAATTTTAATGCTGAATACGCTACTGGATATAACTGCAATACTATAGTAAGTAAATTAATCCCTGTGCTGTAGGAGTTATGATCTAATAAAGATACGACCCTTCACCAGTCACTGTAATACGATCCTTCACCAGTCACTATAATACACTATAATGCAAAGCCCTGGCGGGCTTTCCATAGACCATATATAGGATTTAGAGGAAAGTAAGTTTACTTCAGGCTCATGTTATAGAGAAATATATGAATTTTTTTAGGGTAGAACTTGACAGATGGGAGGAAATTTTTTTCTTTTTTAATTTTCTTGGCCGCGCTGTGCAGCATGTGGGATCTTAGTTCCCCAACCAGGGATCGAAGCTGAGCCCCTTGCATTGGAAGTGCAGAGTCTCAACCACTGGACAGCCAGGGACGTCCGGGGAGGAAAATTTTTTAACTGTTAGAATTTGTAATTGCTCAGAAAGGTGCAGAGTATTAATACTAGGGAGATGCAGAATTGGCCAGCTTGGCTAGAGCCGTGGATTTATTTAGAAGGCAGTAGAAGACAGGGTTCTGGGCAAACTCCCCAACCTTTTTGGCACCAGGGACCGGTTTCGTGGAAGACAGTTTTTCCAGGGTTGGGGGGGTGGTGTTTCAGGCAGTAACATGAGCGATGGGGAGCGATGGGGAGCGGCAGATGAAACTTCGCTTGCTTGCCCATCACTCACCTCCTGCTGTGCGGCCCCGTTCCTAACAGGCCGCGGACTGCTGTAGGTCTGCAGCTCACGGGTTGGGGACCCCTGCTCTAGAGGGCTGGCAGGAGGCAACTTCAGTCATGGTATGCACACGCTAAATTACTGAGAAAGATCCTTTCCAAGCCGGACTAGCTAAAGGTACGTACAGATGCAGACAGTCTATTCAATTTCAGTATGAAAATAAGAACTGATGCTGAGATTTCAGTGAAGGGTGAAGTTGTAATGTGTAACATTTAAATTTTAAAACTTTGGTGTGTCATTTCAGGAGCTGTGTGCCAAGGATTTATTCACTGATTTTTTTCCCCCAAGTTTGTGTTAACTTCTTTTTATTAGGAAAAAAGCTTCTGTGGCCATTAGCTCTGGACATCTGAATTCCTTCTGCTCTGCTGGGATCCAGAAGTAGTTCTAAAGTTATCAGACCAAGAGTTTAGAGAGGAAGGCTTAAATTCTTTAGCCTTTCATATGATAAATACATTGACCTTCCCATTTAGTTCTTTCATTTTGCGTAAGACATGACTTCAGATTATAGTTAATTCGGTTTTCCTTTGGGAGAATCGAGTTTTTGGTCAGGTTTTAACCTACTTTTCTTTAGATCTCTCTTTTTTTATATTCTTAATTCTTAATTAAGAATATAAATTATATTCTTAATTTATAATATAAATAAAAAAGTTATATAGATCTAATAGAATTGCTTCTATTAACTAATCGCTAATAGAAGCAGTCAGATGTCAGCACAATCTTAATTTATTGAGGAGAATAACTTGTGGTTTCTGTGGGGTTTTTTTTTATGTAATTAGCTTTATTTGAAAATTTTATGATTAACAGGCATAATTGTTTTAAGGTGTTTACCATGATGGAAATTTATCCTAACATAGGCATTTTATTTACCTCTCAAAGGACTTTCTTCAGGAGATACCACACCCTTTATGCAAGAAAATATATTACATGCAGCCATACATGCTGTTAGTGATGAAGAGTCTGCAGAAGTAAATGCTAATGATCAACTAGAAGCCCCGAAGCTGGTTCTGCAATCTCTGTTCTCACTTATACGGGGTGAAGTTGAGCAGTTGGATTCAAGAGCACTTCCCCTTTGCCTTCATCAGGTATCATGTTAAACACTTCACTTTCAGCCTCACTGAAATTCTGGGACCAATATTTGTAATAATCTAAAATCCTATTCTCTGTAATTGATTCTACCCCACCTGTCATTGGTGAGTCCAAGAGGAGGTGACCCTGGATCAGTGGCTGGTAGGAAATTTGGCATATCACTGACTCGTGGCCGCACATTGGCTTGGATCATCAATCTATAGTTCATACTGTTGCTAACTTCTTTTGCTTAATGAGTAAGCTGTGTACAAATAAGAGTGAATGTAGTGAGTGCTTAATTAAAATACCAACAAGGTACCAAAAACTAAGCTAGACGCTAGGGAAACAGATTATGTAACAGAGCATGTCCTTAAGAGAGGCACTGTGGAATAGGAGAAACAGTTTGTAGATAACTAATTGTAGAAGTCTGCACAAAGCATTAGAGTAGATATGTGTTTAAGGTTCAGCAGAAGCACAAAATGCATGATTAACTTTGTCCTTTGGACATAAGGGGAATGAAAGGTGATTCTTGAGCTGGGTTTTGCAGGATGTGTAGGCTCTCACTAGATGAACAAAGTGAGCTGGTACAGAATGAGAGAACAGTCCCTGCAAAGACAGGGATGTTGTTGAAGATTAAGATGTAAAAGAGACAGGAATTAAGACTGCGTAGCTTGTGCCATTAAAGGCTTACTTTTAGAGGCTGAGAGCCTTTTTTAAAAAAAATTTATTTATTTACTTTTGGCTGCATTGGGTCTTCGTTGCTGTGTGCGGGCTTTCTCTAGTTGTGGTGAGCCGGGGCTGCTCTTCGTTGCAGTGCACGGGCTTCTCATTGAGGTGGCTTCTCTTTGTTGGGGAGCATGGGCTCTAGGCACACGGGCTTCAGTAGTTGTGTCATGTGGGCTCGGTAGTTGTGGCGCACATACTTAGTTGCTCCGCAGCATGTGGGATCTTCCTGGACCAGGGTTCAAACCTGTGTTCCCTGCATTGGCAGGCAGATTCTTAACCACTGTGCCACCAGGGAAGCCCGAGGCTGAGAGCTTTTAATTATGCAGGTGCCATAATTTGAATTTTAGAAAAATAACTCTTTTGATGATTGGGAGGGTAAGCTAGAAGATGGAGAGCCTGGAGACTGGGAGATCTATGGGACAGTGATGAGGAAGATACACAAGAGATAATTCCAAAAAGATTAAGATATTTATGAGCTGTGTTTTATTTTCTTTTAAAATGAAAATAATTTGTATATGGGTGTGGAAAAAGCTTCACTTTTTATTTCACTCCTCCTGTTTCATTTAACTTTTGCAGTGAGCAGTGAATAATTTTTAAGAAGTAAAACAGCTTTTGTCCTAAGGCAGGAAAACATATATTCTTACAACTTTATGTTACCTCCTTGGTGGACTTGAAGAATGCCTTTGAGAAAATGTGTACTACTTTTTGACCTCTAATGTGTTACTGACATATATGCTATATGTTTATCATAGTTGAGAACTGTAGTTGAGAACCACCAATATTAAGGCAGCTTTCTAATCTTTCAGCCTTCCTTGAATTTGTACAGTGGATTGAGTTTGTAAAGGGTATTTGCATTAACTGTTATTTCATTCTCCAAACAATCTAGAGAGGTAATTATTACCACCATCTTTACAAGTAGGGAGGCTCAGACTCCCTCACAAAGCAAGTTCCTTATAATTCTAGGGCTACAATTTGTTAGTTCCATTCAATGAATCTGTTTTGGGGACAACTTGGGAGAAATTCGACTATGGACTGTATATTAAATAATACTGTTGCATCGGTGTCAGGTTTCTTGAGATTGATAATGGAATTGAAGGTCATGTGGGAGAGTATCTTTATGCTTGGGAGATACATGTGCAAGTAGTACTTAGGAGTGAAGTGATACAATGCCTGCAGCTTAAGATATTTCAGTGGGAAGATATATGTAAGGGAGGGAAAGACAGAGAGAGAAAGCAAATTTGGCGAAATGTCAATAATTGACGAATCTAAATAAAAGGTATATGGCTGTTGATTTTACTGTTCTTTGAACTCTTCTGTAGAATTTCGATAAAAAGTTGGGGAAAAGGACATTTGGAGTAAATGGAAATAGCAAGTGTAGTCAAATCTTTTCAAGCAGTTTATGTCACTGGGCTATTACATTAAAGGTAAGAAGAATTCTCTTTTCTACAGGCAGGTGATCCTACAGCTGAAGCAGATCTAGTAGAAAATCACATTTTTAGGCAGGAAGACGATAACAGTCTTGATCAGATGAAGATTATTTTTTTTATGTCTCAAAGTAAAATTCTACCTTCATCCCCCAGAAACATGTCAGTTTGCTGGGTCCCGTATGTTATGCTTCTTATATATCTCAGCAATCTGTCCTCTCCTGGCAAAGGAGCTTAGAAAGTATAGTGAGTTTTTTTTTTTTAATGCCACTTTTTAAAAATTTATTTAATTAAAAAGAATATATTTACTTAGGCTGCGCTGGGTCTTAGTTGTAGCATGCGGGATCTTCGTTGCGGCATGCATGCGGGATCTAGTTCCGCAACCAGGGATCGAACCGGGGCCCACTGCATTGGGAATGCAGAGCCCTACCCACTGAAACACCAGGGAAGTCCCTATAGTGATGGTTTTAAAGTATGAGCTTTGGCTCTACCACTAACAAGCAAAGTAGCTTTTAGTTTCTTTTCCTGTAAAGTTGTAGAGGACTCAGTGAAATAATGCAGTAAAAGTACTTAACATAGTACTTGGTACACTTAACATAAAAGCTAAATAAATATTAAGCATTTTAGCTATATTTCTCTGTCACTACTTCAAACATTGCTTGTTGGAAAGAGATGCTGAAGCCTGCAGTAAGCTGAGACATCAGGGCAACAGGAGTCAGCTGATGGCTGCCTTCCTCAGCCCAAGAATACAAAATATCCTGTCACCTCCCAAGGGAGACACAAATCAGGGAGAAGTGGAGTGAGTTTTTCTTCTTTTCATTATTTAGTAATTCCCACTCTCATACTGTACCTTTCACTTGGATTGACAGTTGTTGACATTTTGCCAGATTTTCGTTTTCCTCCTACCCCCCAACCCCTCTCCACGCACATATTTTCCACTGACACATTTTAAAGTAATTTTCAGGCATTATATCACTTCACCCTTAAATATCAATACTTGTGCATAAATTCCCCAAGAACAATGATACTCTCCTACATAACCTACAATGCCATTATGAACCCCAGGAAATGAGACATTGGTTTAATATTATTTAACATACAGCCTATATTTGTTTCCCTCAAGTTATTCCACAAATATTCTTTATAAATAGTTTTCCCCAGATCCAGGATCCAGTGAAGGAGCACACAGTGGGAAGATTCTTTAGTCTTTGGTAATCCAGAACAATTCCCTGCCTTTTGTTTTGTTTTGTTTATTTGCTTGTTTGTTTATACTTTTATAACATTGACACTTCTGAAGACTCAAGAATTCTTGTAAAATGTCCCGTGATTAGGATCTGCCTGATTATTTCTTCATGATTTGATTCAGGTTGAAATATATTGGCCAAGAATTCTACCTAGGTAACATTCCATACTCAGTTCTCTTTTTTTTTTTTTTGTGATACATGGGCCTCTCACTGTTGTGGCCTCTCCCGTTGCGGAGCGCAGGCTCAGCGGCCATGGCTCACGGGCCTAGATGCTCTGCGGCATGTAGGATCCTCCCGGACCAGGGCGTGAACCTGCGTCCCCTGCATCGGCAGGCGGACTCTCAACCACTGTGCCACCAGGGAAGCCCCTCAGTTCTCTTTTGAACTCACTCCAATCTGGCCTTTGTGCCAACTACTCCATCAAAGTTGCATTGTAAAGGCCAGGTGTGACCTCCATGTTGCGTGCCCATGCGAATCTAGTGGTCAGTCCTCAGTTTTCATCTTACTGGAAGTATCAGAATCTCTGACAAGTTGACCACATACTCTATTTTACAGCATTTTCTTTTTTTGCCTTTTAGGACCCCTCACTTTTGGCTTTTATATCTTACCTCACTGGACATACCTTCTCTGGCTCATTTGTTGAGTCCTCCAAGTTTTACTAATTCTTAAACATTGAAGGGCTTCAGGATTCAATTCTGAACTACAGACTTAAACATCCAGCTTCCTGAGGCATCTCATGGGCATTTCAAACTTAAGATGCCCAAAATCAAACTTTGATTTTTTTCTCCAAAATCTTTTGCTTTCCTAGTCTTCCCCCTTCTGTTAAATGGCAACTCCATCCCTCCAGTTGCTGAGACCAAATACTTTGAAGTCATCCTTCACTTTCCCCCACGTCCAAATCCAGTCAGCAAGTCCTGCCACTCTATTTCAAAATATATCCAGATTCTGACCTCTTCTTACCTCCTGCATTGCCACCATCTCAGTGCAAGATATTATCAAATCTCACTTGGATTCTTGCAGTAAACTAATTGTAGAAACCTCCTTGCTTTACCTTTACTTCTATTTAGGTTTTTTTCTCTCTACACAGCAGTCATTGTGATTCAGATAAAATGTTACGTCAGATCATGTTACTTCTGTGCTCAAAGCCATCCACTGACTTCTCTTCGCATTCAGAGTAAAAGCCAAGATCCTTACCATGGCCTACAAGATCCTACATGATTTGGCCATGTTACCTCTTAGGCCTTAATTCCTAAAACTCTCCTTCTTGTTCACTCCTTTCCAGGTACACTGGCCTCCTAGCAGTTTGTCAGATATACCAAGAATGTTCCTACATCAGGGTCTGTGGTACTTCCTTTCCATCCTTTCTCAGGAAGCCGCTAGATGATGTACTCCATCAAAACAAGGGAGTAAACCAAGGAACAGGAAGATTGAGATATAGGAAACTGGGGATGCTACCAGGAGAGAGGTGAAGGGAGATTCTAAGATGACAGCTTTGTACCAAAAAGGAGAGAGTAACCACTTCTATTTGAGCAGATCAGAAGGGTCTGGGGAGGAACTTTTATATCATTTTCCTATTTCTGAATATTTGCGGTATCTGAATGTATTGAGGGAAGATTTAGACTCCTGGTGGACTATTTAGAGTTGTATAAGTGATAAGTGCATGGAAAACTTTTTTTAAAAAAAAAAGGGAAAAAAAGAAACTCCAGGAAAAACAAAAAGTTTTCAGGAAAGGAAAAATAATGAGTTTACTACTTGGCTTAACTCATAATAAGGTAAACATTAAATGTTTATCTACCTATTACTACAATATCATAACATGGGATAGGTGAATATGTGAGAGAAAGTGTGTGTCGTATATGTTTGTAGGGTTTGGATGGGGAGGAGCAAAAGACCCAATCCTCATTTTCTAAAACTGAAAAAATCAAGAAATAGCAAATATAAGCATAATGTTTAGAGATACAGCAAAAAATATATTTTTAAACAGATAAGAGAAATCTAAGTATGTGCTTGCTCCTGAAGAAAGGAGAATAGGGCAAGAAGGGTAGGGCCTTTTTTAACACACCTCATAGAACTGTTTGACTCCTTAAACCATATACATGTGTAATCTTGATAAAAATAAGAGCTAGGGCTTCCCTGGTGGCGCAGTGGTTGAGAGTCTGCCTGCCGATGTAGGAGACACGGGTTCGTGCCCCGGTCTGGGAAGATCCCAAATGCCGCGGAGCGGCTGGGCCCGTGAGCCATGGCTGCTGAGCCTGCGCGTCCGGGGCCTGTGCTCCACAACGGGAGAGGCCACAGCGGTGAGAGGCCCGTGTACCGCAAAAAAAAAAAAAAAAAAAAAAGAGCTAAAAGAAGAAATTTATAATTCAGGCATAAGGCTAGGATATCCAGTTGAAAGGAATGGTAGTACCACTAACAGAAATAAGGAAGTATGGATGGGAAGAGTTAATTAGGGGACAATTACATATATATATATATATATATATATATTTATTTTTTTTTTTTTTTTTGCTGTACGCAGGCCTCTCACTGTTGTGGCCCCTCCCGTTGCAGAGCACAGGCTCCAGCCGCGCAGGCTCAGCGGCCATGGCTCACGGGCCCAGCCGCTCCGCAGCATGTGGGATCTTCCCAGACCGGGGCACGAACCCGTGTCCCCTGCATCGGCAGGTGGACTCTCAACCACTGCGCCACCAGGGAAGCCCAGACAATTATATTATTTTTAACATGATATTATATGGATGAATATATGCTAAAGGCCATTTGATATAATGACTACGATTACTTTAGATATACACTTAACTTTTAGCTCTTGGAACTCTTGAAGATTGCATTTAAAAATTATTTTTCTTGGGTTTGAGTAATCTTCCTACACTGACTTAGTTAATATGACTGCAGGTTAGCTTTAAATATGTAACTGAAGTCATAAACTTAGAAGTTTCTCATATAGAAGTAAGAAGAAAAAGATCAAGTGCTGTACTCTGTGCTCAGTGAGCTTATACTGAAACTCATCTCAGACTCAGGCAGGATATGTCTCCGCTGGGATCCTTGAAGCCACTCTGTAAGACTATGGACGAAAAACTACACCTTCCTAATTCCCTTTCTTTTGTTTCTGGTAGGTAAAAGAAGCCTGAAACCAGGAGAACCTTAAAATTATTACCATCCCAAAGTGATTTTCAACTTACTTCTTCACATAATTCTACTCTACCTCTCTCACTTCTAGTCCAGAGTCAGACTCGAAAACCATTTTAAGCACTTACTGCTATGTGCTGGGCACTGTGCTAGATGCACATTCCCTCACTTAGTCCTTACAGCAGCCATGTCTCAGAGTTGTAGGTATTATTGTCCCTATTTTACAGATAAGGAAGCTGAGTTTGAGACTCAACATGTCCAGGGTCACACAGCTGGTAGTGGCAAAGCTTGGACTAGAATGCAGTCAGGTTATTCACTTTCAAACCTCACGTTTTTCTGTTATACCAGGCTACCTCCCAGATCTAGACATATGGGGCATCAAAGAAAATCACATTTTCTTTTGCCCTGCTAGACTTGCCAGGGGTAGGTTTTTATAGGGGATATGATCTGTATATTTATTTTTCAAGCTGCTCTTTCACCTTAGAAATGTCTTTTATTTTTGAGACCTTGGGTTTCATGACCCTGTCTTTATATATATATATATATATAAATTTATTTATTTATTTTTGGCTGCGTTGGGTCTTCGTTGCTGTGCGTGGGGTCTATTCTCCGTTGCGGTGCGCAGGCTTCTCATTGCGGTGGAGCACGGGCTCTAGGCATGCAGGCTTAAGTAGCTGTGGCTTGCAGGCTCAGTAGTTGTGGCTCGCTGGCTCTAGAGCGCAGGCTCAGTAGTTGTGGTGCACGGGCTTAGTTGCTCCATGGCACGTGGGATCTTCCCAGACCAGGCCTCAAACTTGTGTCCCCTGCATTGGCAGGCAGACTCTTAACCACTGCGCCACCAGGGAAGTCCCATGACCCTGTCTTTTTGGTTGCACTTATGGTACTAGAACTGTCACGGAAATCTGAAAGCTAATTGATTAACAGTTTACAAAGAGGTGATTGAGTACATCTATATTGTATGTTGCTCCTGGAAGAATGTTAGATATATAGAATAAATTTTAAGCTAGGCAAATATTTCCTTTAAAACTATCCTTTTTCCACTGTGGGATTTGGGAAAGACCATTCCTTTTTATTGCTAGCTTATAGGTTTGACAAGTGCTTTATTGCTCTTTGCCTTGGCAGCTACCTGGAAAATGGAGATAGTGATCTATAAATGGAATACCTTTTTCACTAGAGACTTACTAAAAATCAGTGGAAACTGTTTGAAAGTGTAAAGTACTTAATGAAATATTTTAAATATGACAGTAGTCAATTTATGAAAATATTTCTCAGTGAATACTTTCAGTTTTACTATTCTATTTATAAATGCTATATCTAAATGAAGATCTAAATAAAAGATCCCAAAGTTTTTAGAATCAAAGAATTTTTAAATTTAGAGGTGCCCTAGAATGAATCTGCTAAGTGATAAGCCTCAACTGGGTCCAGATCATGAGTCTCTGGACCCCACCCTCCCATCCAGTGCCCTTTATACTGTGCAGCACTTTGTATATATTCCAAAGATCATTGCTCAACTATTAGCACTTGGTCTGTCCTTTTCTGAAATATCAAAAAAGAATGAAAAATCAGTGTCCCATGAGGTAGTTTGTGAAACAGAAATGAAATGAATAGGTTTTAAGATTTCATGTGACATGACATATTTCAACTTTTTAATTTACGATAAAGTCATCCTTTCACTCATAATATACTTTTATAAGCCTCAGTAGCATTTCCTTCATTGTTTAGAGTTCTTACTTGTAAACTCTAATGAATCAGTGATGTTTGCTTTGACTTGAAATAGAGTAGGAAGAATGAGATTGTATATGGACCAAAGAATGTCTATGTTTGCTTTTCTTGAGATAAGTGACTTCAGAAATGTGTCCTGTGCCTACAGTCCGATTTTTTCTGAACTGGCGAATGTAGTTAAATAAGAGTTTTCTTAGCTCAATATCAAAGACTTTGAGAATTTCAAGGTCTTGGTTTCTTCTAAATTTGTCTTTTCATCCAAATGTTAATTTAATTTCCTCTATTTTTTATTTGTTTTTAACAGATAGCAGAGTCCTATTTCCAGGAGGAGGACTGTATCCTTTTCTTAATTACAAGAAGAAATTCACAGATTTCTTAGAGAACTGCCCATTTTTAAAAACTGAGATTTACGTACAATGAAATGTATAATCTGTTGTTTTCACTGGGTTTTAATTGTTGTATGCGCCAGTGTAACCATCTCAGAAAACAAGATGTAGGGAATTTGTCACTCCAGAAAATTCTCTAGAAGCACCCAAATTTGACCTCCCATGAACAAGCCCTAATTTTACCAAAATCTAAATATTTGTGTGTTGGGGGGAGGGGGGAAAGCATGTTGCAAAAAACAAACAACAAAAAAAAAAACCCATTGAATTTTTTTTCTTTTGAATTAAACAGAAGTACAAGTCAAGTAATATTCGTATGTTAAGAGTCTGTCAAGTGTATTATACATAGTAAATCTCATAACTGTCTTATTGTAGCTATATATCAGTAAAGGGAAGATTGAGTTCTTCACTAGTAATAAACAGAATAAATGTTCTCAAAGGAGACTGCATGTTAACTTTTGTATAGGAAAGATTTATTCCCTTAGCTTTTAAATTTTCCTCATTTGAAATTGTTTTTGAAAGATGGCCCAATATATTCTCTAGAAAGAATGTATCCTAAGTATTTCTATTTCCCTATTTGTGTGATTTCTTTTTCCTCCTAACCTTATTGACTTTCACCACAGATTGAGGGATAAGCCGTTATCATCCTGAACCCTATCCAGTAAACTACGAAATGAAACTTCAGACAGTGGCAGTTCATTTCTCAGTATGTAGGAAATCAAATTCTTATGGAAAGGAAGCTAGAGCTACCCAAATAATGAGTATGATGTAGTGCAGTTCAGATCAGCATCAGCATCCCTGGGAGCTTCTTAGAAACGAAAATTCATGGGCCTTAGAATCAGAGCTTCTGGGGATCAGACCCATGAATCTCTATTTTAGCAAGATTTTCAAATACTTTTTATGTTCAGTAAAGTTTGAGAAACATTGGTATACTTTTAAGCCATGCACAGAGGAAAACGGAATTGTCTCTGCTTCTCCCTGACCTATTTTATGATTCCTGGCATATCTTTTAAGACTACAAATGAGAGAGAGAATTAAACCTCTGAGTGATCATGGGAAGGACAAAAAGCTAAAACAGTGAGTTTTTTCTCTTCCTTCTTTCTGGGTCAACATTTAGAACATGGCCCAAAGGAAGGTAGACAGTTGCACAATTTATTATGACCTCATGTGATGCTAAATGTGTGATACAGATGGAGAAGACAGCAGTTTATAAGAAAATCTACCAAAAAAGCAGAAGCACATAATTATGAAAATCACTGTGGCAAGTTAATTTTTTTTAAGTGTTTGGTGAGAAATAAGTAAAGGATCACAGGCAGTTGAAATCAGAAACAAACATTTGACTAGAGGGTAACATAGTTGCTTGACAGAAGGTAATATAAGGAGAGAAAAAAAGGGGGGGGAACACTTAGATACAGGATTCCACATGGGTCCTATTTCTAATTAAATTATATTTAATTGACTCTCCTAGAGATATTATTAGCAAGCAGCCATTCCTTGAACGTTAAAACCTTCTTTTTATTTCTACTGTTTGCTGATAGAATAGAACCCAGGTAGCTACTGCATGATATGCTACATTAAAATTTACCTACTTCAAAACCAAGAAACCTTACTTAAGTTTTGTTTAAATTTAAAAGTATTTAGAGTCCTCTCATTTTTTGGTAAGCTTCAAATTTATCAACTGATATAGGACATTATTCTTTAGGCTGGATTTCTATTTTCCTCAAATTTTCTATTCAGATGAGAAAGCAATGAAATTCATTCAGCTCGAACGACTGTATCATGAGCAATTGCTCGCAAATCTTTCTGCCATTCAGGAACAGTGGGGTGAGTACAGACTAACAGAATGTGGAATTATCAATAATCTAACAAGTTGCTCTCTAGAAAGTTAACATATTTGACCTAGTTTTAGGAAATAGACGTTTCTAGTCAAGTTAATGTTGCAAAGAAAGTAGCATTTTTAGCACAAGTTTATGTCACTGTAAGAAAATTTTTCTCTTTGTATTTTGTTCTTCATATCAGTGCCAAGAAAAGAACACTTGCAACTGTTTGCATTTCTTCTGATCCCTTTGTATGCCCTATTGGCTAATTTAGTCTCTGGGATAATATTTACTTAGAATGAAAAGTAATCACTTAGCTATTTCTGTGTTAACTTTGGGGTTGAGAAGATACTTTTGCATGATGATGTTTATCAGTGGTGCCAGTTATCTATTTTTTCCCTCCTAAACATGTTTTGTAACAGCCAGTGACTGACAAATATTTTAAATTTAGAAACAAAATGGAAAACTGTACAACCACATACAGTTACATCTTTGAGGAACTCAGAAAAAGGATTTAATGGTGAGGATTTTGAACGGCTTGCTAAATTTTGCACAACACATCAAGAGTAAGTACTTCAGTATTTGTTTACAATGAGTTTGAATAGAATATTGAAGAAGCACTGTAGCATTGAATATTTGAAATACAAGATTCATTTCTTTGTTTTGTTAATGCTTTCAACTGGAGAAATTAAAATTGATAAAATGATTAGGTTCCTTTCTCAGCTTTTATCTGTTTCTTACACTAAACTCAGCGAAAGGTCTACTTTACAAAATTCAAAGCACCTTCTAATTAGAAATTTTTAAATGTAACTTCTAATTTCGATTACTTTTTGGTTAAGATATTAGGCGATTCAGATGGAAAAATTTGTGTTAGCATTTTTTATTATAATTGTTTTTCAATGTTTGTCAGTGTTTCTATGTTTTTACTATACTATGTTATAGTAAAAACACATTTTTAAGAGTAGTCTAATACTGGAAAGCGAATGCACTATGGTATTTAACCAAAATACTGTAGAAGGAAAACTCCATTTACCAGATAATTTTAAATTGTTTGATTTATATCAAAGAGTTGGATTTTTAAAACAATATAGTAATAATAAAGAACTTAAATATATTTTTTAATTCATTATTTGAAGACTCAGAATTTTAAAGGTGAGGGGACATTATAGTGATTAAACAAGTGCAGATTTCTGGGATGTACAATTTTCTTGTGTTAGTCAATTTGAACCTTTGAAACAGTATTTGTATGGGTTTTGCATTATAACCTAATTCTTAGTGAGTTAAATAGGTTAACTTTTGACTTTGTAGAGGTTTTAAACAACGGAATCTTTTAAAATGGGTAAAGGAGATTGTTATCTTTTTTTTTCTTTTCTTTCTTTTTTTTTACATCTTTATTGGAGTATAATTGCTTTACAATGGTTAGTTTCTGCTTTATAACAAAATAAATCAGTTATACATATACATATGTTCCCATATCTCTTCCCTCTAGTGTCTCCCTCCCTCCCACCCTCCCTATCCCACCCCTCCAGGCGGTCACAAAGCACCGAGCTGATCTCCCTGTGCTATGCGGCTGCTTCCCACTAGCTATCTACCTTACGTTTGGTAGTGTATATATGTTCATCCTCTCTCTCGCTTTGTCACAGCTTACCCTTCCCCCTCCCCATATCCTCAAGTCCATTCTCTAGTAGGTCTGTGTCTTTATTCCTGTCTTACCCCTAGGTTCTTCATGACATTTTTTTTTCTTAAATTCCATATATATGTGTTAGCATACAGTATTTGTCTTTCTCTTTCTGACTTACTTCACTCTGTATGACAGACTCTAGGTCTATCCACCTCATTACAAATAGCTCAATTTCATTTCTTTTTATGGCTGAGTAATATTCCATTGTATATATGTGCCACATCTTCTTTATCCATTCATCCGATGATGGACACTTAGGTTGTTTCCATCTCCAGGCTATTGTAAATAGAGCTGCAATGAACATTTTGGTACATGACCAAATTATGAATTATGGTTTTCTCAGGGTATATGCCCAGTAGTGGGATTGATGGGTCATATGGTAGTTCTATTTGTAGTTTTTTAAGGAACCTCCATACTGTGGAGATTGTTTTCTTACTTTCACAATTTCAATATAGACACTTTTTCTGCCCTTCCCATGGAACTAATAATTTTTTAATGTGTTACAAATGTTTTAATTATTTAAAAACAAATTTTTTTAACCTAATATGAGCATGACTTTTTTTTTCTTTTCTTTTTTCTCTTTTTAAATATAAGGTAACTTGCCAACACAGAATTTAAAGGCTAGTCACATTGCTTCAGATCACTAGAGAATTTCTGGCTAATGAACAGTGGATAGTATAGTAAACAAAACCCCAAATTTTTATGCTTTAAATTTGATAATTTCCCAAAATTATACTCCTAAAATTTTTAATATAAAAAATATTTTTGAGTTATACATACATTAAAGTACCCAGCTTGATGAATTTGTACATGTACAGATACATAGTGTAACTACCAGTCTGACCAAGATACAGGACAGTCCAGCCCCTCAGAAATCTCCCTAATTTCTGTACAAAGTCAGTACCCATCTCCCAAAGTAACTACTGTCTGAGTTCTATAACAGTGTGTTTGTCTGTTCTGTAATTTAATATAAATGTAATCACACAGAGTAGATTTTTGTATCTAGCTTCTTTTGCCCATGGTTATGTTGGTGTTACATATTGTTACATGTTATGGTAACTTGCTCTGCTTTACTGCTGTGTGTATTCATTATATGACTATGCAGCAATTTATTTATCCATTATATTGTTAATAGACATTTGGTTTGTTTCCAGTTTTTGAATTGTATGAATAAAATGGCTGTGAACATTTTTGTGTATGCTTTGTGGTGAATATATGCATTCTTTTATCTTGGGTATTTCCTAAAGTATAATATTTAAAGATTACTTTTGTTATCCTTTTCTATGGATAATGCATATAAAATTATCTTCCACCATAATTTTAGACTATAATGACATAAACTAAAATTTTAATAATATCTGTGAAATGCTCTTGAAATACATTATTAGCAAAAGGTTGACACTTTTCCCCCCGAATCTCAGTATTTATAGCTTCTATGGAGGTTTTCATTAGTTATTGGCCATCTAAGGAGATTAACACATGAGATAGCTGCACTTTGAACTATGTGAACCAGTGGTAATGTTTCAGCAGTGGAAATGTTCTGTGCTAATATTAGAATCCAGAGAAGCTCTATTTTTTTTTTTTTTTACAGCCCTTTCAGTGACATTTGTTTGGAAGCATATTGCTGCTGTAATTTTTTTTTAATTCTTTTTTTTCTCTCTTTTTTTCTACAGTCCTCTTTTATCCAAACATAAGGTAAGAGATTTTCTTTGAAAATGTCTATAGGAAAAATGTGTCATGTTTGTTGTATGGACTGTTTTAGAAAATAATGAAACCTTTCTCAAATTATTTTCAGCTTTCTAATTTAATGTAATCGTTTCCTCCAAAGTTTTATTTTTCCTTCTTCTTCTTTTTAAAAAACTTTTTAGATAGCAGCTGTACAGAAGCCCCTGGGAGGGAAATGCTTTACGCAGTTAATAGTATCTGAAGATCCAAAGGAAAGAGGAGCTACAGCCAAAGAGCCGGGTATGTTTTTAAATTACAGGGGGATATAAGAGATATGCCTGCCTCTTTTAATAAATATTCTACAAGTGTTAATCTGAGTTGCTGTGAAGGAGTTTTTTTGCATATACCTCTCCTGCACAAATAGCAAAGCAAGATTTTTTTACATTGTGTAATTCTATTTTTAGATATCTAGTAGTAGGAATGATAAAATCTGAATTCTTGTAAAAACATAAAATTATTTCATGTTTTCAGTAGGTGGTTATATGTGTCTAACAGAATATGACAAGATTGTACAAATAAGCTCTGAAATAGAATTGGTTTTAGTGTATTCAGACATCCCTTTCTGTTAAAAAAAATCAATTTTTGTACAAACTTTATCAGAAATTTTTTCTGTAAATCTAGATATTATCAAGATAAGCTCTGTATCCTTATAGTTTATCTATAGTAATTTATTCTTTTCCTTTTTTTGTTGACTAACATATGGTATACTTTAATTTGTACATATATATTTCTATAGCATTCATAGTATATTTTATAGCACTGTGTCTTATGTCAAAAGTTAAAGATTTCTAGAAATTTTTTTTCTTACAGTAGTAATGTATGTTCATTATAAAAACTTCAGAAAATAAAGATAAATAAATATGTTTTAGGGCATTTATTTTTCCTTGTTTATGATTTTAGTACTAATTTATATTCCTGGGCTTTATGTTCCTGGGCCTGAGAGCCCTGATAGTAAACAGGCAGCATCAGGTCTTTTGACTTGAGGTGCCTGAAGAGGTAAGATGACGACGATGATGCCTGCAATTTCACTTGCTTTTTTCTCTTTACGTTTTTTTCCCCCTAAATCTTATTTTATCCCCTCTTCTCTTATGAGGCAAATTTGGGTTGCCTTAGGTCAATCCTACTATATTCTGTTCTTCCTGTCTCTTTTTCCCAGTCATTTTTATTTTGGAAATCAGAATACAATGAGCTTCATAAAAATCTTAGGGGAAAAAGTCACAAAATAGTCACCTAGTTTGGGTGTGAATGTGTCTCTTTGCTGTGCACATTGGGAAGAAGGCTGTTATTACATGCTGATTGTTTGAGTCTGACACTGCCTAGCCCTAGCTTGGCACTACTTCTAGCTTGGCCTTTACTGCAAGATAGGTGGCACAGACAGGAAACTGAGATACCACATATAAGTCACTTGCTTGGCGCTTTGATTCACAACTGGAACCTGGGTCTTCTGGTTTCTAATTAAATTGCAGCATACTTCTGCTAAGTAAGTTGTGTGGATTTTCAAAGACTTCCACAATGCAGACATTTCATTAATAGCCATTTTATGGGGAGGGTGTGGACTAAATTCTGGAGAAGGAAATCTTGCCAAGTCTGATAAAATAATATCTTTTAAGGAAAAATGTCAAATGTCTCATAATGAGCCTACTCAGATTGGTTATTCTATGAATAAATACATAGAAATGTAAGAAAGAATATGAGAGAAAGAAATATGAAAATATTACTTTAAATGATTTGTATTTAATATATTGTCCTTGTTTTACCCCATATTCCTTATTTCTAATGTCTTACATGTTCTACAGTGTAGACTTTCCCTTTTCTTTCTCTCTACATATCTTGGTCTTAAGCTCCTTATATAATAAGTAACTTGCTTTTTTGTGTGTGTGGTGGTTAAAGACATTGTTTCTGGCACCAAACTTTTCTGGTTTGAATCCTCTCTCCACCACTTGAAGTTGTGTGACCCTAAGAGACTTCCCTGGTGGTCCAGTGGTTAAGACTTCACACTCCCAATGCAGGGCACATGGGTTCCATCCCTGGTTGGGGAACTAAGATCCTGCATGCTACACGGTGCAGCCAAAAAAAAAAAAAAGTTGTGTGACCATAAGCAAGTTGCCTAATTTCTCTGTCCCTCCCTTTCCTCAGCTCCAAAAGGTGGACATTAATAGTTCTTACCTCATAGGATTCTTATGAGGATTAAATTAGTAATTTCATTAAAGTTTAAAACAGTACCTGGCATAAGGTAAGAAAAACATGTGCTCACTGCTCTCATTACTCTTCCTCCACCACTTCCTCCTCATGTTACCACTACCCCCTACTGCTAGTATTCCATTAATGTTCTCTACGTGTTATTCATTGCTACTTTTCTAATTATTCTATCATTATTAAAGTCTTCAAGTAATTTATGTAGTATTTTATATTTTCAAAATACTTTTATGTATATTATCTCATCTTTTCCTCCTAACAACCAATTTAAGGTAGGCTAAATCATTTTAAGAAACTCAAGGAAGGTAAGTGACTTATTCCGGAACAGAACTAATTAGAACACAAAGCTAAACCCTATTTTTCTGACCCTGAAGCCCATGTGTTTTTATTAATTTATATTTTAATTCATTTTTATTAAGTAATATTTTATATGTAAAAATAATATGAAATGTACATACATTTTAACAATTGATAGAAAAATGAAGACCTGTGAACCTCGTACCTAACAAGGGACTAAATTGTCAGTTCTGTTACAGCTACCTTTGTGTTCCTCTCTATCCCATCACCTGCTTCACTCCATTCCTGAGGTAACCATTATCCTGAGTTCTCTATTTATCATTCCCTTCCCATTTTTAAATCAACTTTATTGAAGTACAATTTCCATACAATAAAATGTACCCATTTTAAGTGTATAATTTGATGAGATTTGACAACTGTATACACTCATGTAACTACTACCCCAGTCAAGATATGGAACATATTCATCACTCCAAAATCTTTCTCCCAGCCCTCTTACACTCAGTCCCTCCCACCTCCAGTCCCAGGCGACCCAGTGCTTTCTCTTATTATCAGTGGGTTTTCCCTGTTTTAGAATGTAATATAAGTAGAATTGTTCAGCATCCTTTTTTTTTGAGAGCCTCCCATATTGTTGTATGTATCATTAATTCATTTCCTTTCATTGCTGAGTAGTATTCCACTTTTTGACCGTACCACAATTTATTTATCCATACACCTGTTGATAGATATTTGGGTTGTTTCCAAGTTGGAGATATCATGAATAAAACGGTAGGAAGGTTTTTTTGTAGATACATGTTTTTATTTCTCTTGGGTAAAGAACTTAGGGTGGAGTTATTGGGTCATAGGGAAGGTACATGTTTAGCTTTCTAAAAAACTGTCAAATAGTTCTCCAACGCTCTTGTCCTATTTTATACCCCACCAGCAATATATGAGAATTCCAGTTGTTCCACATCCTTGCTGACATTTAATGTTCTCTTTTTTTTTTAAGTCATTTAGTGGATATGAATGTCTTTTCTTTTTTAAGTCTTTTTTTTTTAAGTCATTTAGTGGATATGAATGTCATTGTGGTTTTACCTTGCTTTTCCCTGATGACTGAGTATGTACATTTTTAGTTTTGAATTAGCCTCTGTAGAAGTTGTACTAATTTATACTATTACCAACAGTTCAGACTTAATTTAGGCACATTTCTTTCCATCTGCTAAAATAGATATTAACATTGAAAATTTCTTTTTCAAGCCTGATATCACTCAGATGTTTTTACCTGATGATAATTAATGAGATACTCAGAAAATATAAGAAATGTGTTAATTCATGAATGCTTTAGTCTCACATCATGTATTGTATAGGGGATTTTTCCCTAAAGAGAATTCATGGGGGAATGGGAGATGAGAGAGTAACGCAAAGGTATGTGCATTTGTAGAGCATGTGTTAGAACTTAGGTTTAAATCTAACTTCTCATTTTAGAACTACCTCTTTAATTTGGTATTATTAAGTATCTGTCATACACTCAGCTTTTATTCCATTTTTATTTCATCAGAGTAGAATTTTTTTTTTAGTACATCTTAAGTCAATGCAATAGGGATTAGTAAACTTACCTCTCTAGATCTTTGGGTTCAGGAGAACCAATTAACAGAAATTCATGTTAATATTAACAGAAACATTAACAATAAGTTTTGTACTATGATACATACTTGTAGAAAATTCAGAAAATATTTTTGGTTAAACATAGTGGATCAAACGTTTACTTCCACTTTTTTTTTGGAACACTATTAAAATATCTGAAGGGGATCCTTAAAGGCAGAAAGCCAGAAGGACAGAACTGGCAAGGACCCAGCAGCAGATATGACATCCAGAAAATTTTGGAAGCTGGAAAGCAGATAGATGGGTGACACCTGGCTTAACATACCAGAGAAAGCCAGAAACTAAGTGTCTACAGGGAAAAGGTTGATTTCTGCTTGGGAAGGTTTGGGAATTGGAAGCACAGAGGGTACCTCTAAATTTAAGGGTTTAAAGTTGGGCTAAAAGACTGTACAAGAAGCATTTAGACCTTTATATTCCCCTTCTACTGAATCGGAGGCCTGTTGGAAGCTAGACACAATACAGCAGTGCCTTCAAAATTGCGAGAGAGCATGATTTCTAACCTAGAAAACTTTACCCAACCAAAGTTTTAGTCAGGGGTGAAGAAGTAAAGACTTTCAGATGTGAATAACCTTAGAAAGTTTACCTTCCATGTACCTTTTCTTAGGAAATGTTCTACTAAGAGAGAATAAACAAAGAGGAAGACCTGGGATTCAGAGAAAACAAGGTTTCCAAAATAGAGCCAAAATGAATTCCTGGGATCACTGGGAAAGGAAATTCCAGGATGATACCTGTGTAGCAGCCCTGGAGAGGAGTTCCAGGTCAGGGACTCAAGAAGGATATGTTTTAAAACTGATGGATTATCTGTTGGTACATATGCCGTAGTTGTACATCTGTCAGAGTTTGAAGACACATAGGTAAAGTTTTTTTTTTAATGAAGTAATGAGGCAGTTATCAACACCAAGGAAAACAAAGCATAAATGAGAAAGGAAGACGTATCAGAGTACATAGTGTGGGTCAGTTGTGAATAATACTTACAAAGCCATAGTAACATAAGCATTTGAATATTGATTTGCCCCAGAATTGTGTTGAATTGTAATGGGAGCTAGAGGAGAAGAAAGAAAACATCACTGTTGGGGAAAGGAACCATGAGAGCTAACTCTCTTCCATAGTAGGAAGTCAGTAGGTGTTCTCTAAAACTGAAAAGTCAATAAATAACAATGTAAGTCTTATCTAGAAATGGAGAGTAAATATGAGAGGAAACAGCTAAAGGAATTGAAAATTGGCTGCCCCTAGAGAGCAGGAATCAGACAGATGGGAGGGTAAGGCAGCAGACTGTTTTTCATTACCTGTAAGGACAGGTTTTAAGTTCTTCCCCAAAAGCATGATTTGATACAACAAATTATAGATTAGCATATATTATGTGTGATTTGGAGACTGAATATGTATTAAAAATATCACTTAGATTTTATATGGCGTCAAACAAACTATAGCTACTCACCTGATCTAGTCTGAAACTCTTGCCCTTTGCATCTTAAATTACTACTTTTTTTCATATTTTATATTGTTTCTAATAGTGGAATGAAGCAACTGTTTTCAGGCCAGTATTTATAAGTAATGCATTGTACCTATGCGTAGTCTTTATTACACACCACTTAAGTGGTATCTTGCTTCATTAGAAACGGTACTTAAAGTGACTTGTATTTTGTCTAAGTAACTATAGTCAGCCATGTCACTTTCTACTCATGTAATGGCGTCTCAAGCTGATTCTCTAACTTTTCAGTCACTTATAGCTATTAAATAGTCTCATTTTGATTCTTTATGACTTAGTCCTTTTCAATTCCAAACTTTACCATAACACTTAAATCTCATTTTATTCAAAGCTCTTCTCTGTCCACCAGCTCTGCAGGGGCTGGGAGCATGGTCTGCTCTCTGGTGAAGCTAGCTAGATTAGTGCATAGGATGGAATCCAGGCTATGGGGATGTGTGGTGGCTCCGGCAGGACCAACTGAGGAGGCGCTTACTTCCAAGTTGCTCTCCTAGACATCTGTGGTCCTTTAGGTAACTGGCCCTCAGCTAGAGACAGCACACCCCGTTCCTGTGATGTGGGGCCCTCTCCGCCCTGTGTTTATGCTATTTACTCTCTGAATTCTATGGATGTGTTTTGAGGGCCGCCTTCTGAACCTTTGGGTACTGGGAACTTGTGGAGGAGAGCTTGGCCCCCTTTCCATCTGGCAGGGGCCCTCTTTGCTCTGACGTCCTGCATCTTAACAGAGAGGCAGACCAGCAAGCTCAGTGGTGAAGCAGACAACCTAATGGGAATTAAAATGTCCATGTGTTTTTTTTTTTGCAGTCTTCCAAACTTTGAATGATTCCTTGGGGTGAGACAAGACAAAGAATGCTGTACTCTCCCCAAAAGAGACCTATTTTTCCTTGTCCTCTCCTCATCTGATGTTCAAGTTAAGGCATTGGGGGAGGTAATACGAACTCTAATAAGCTCAGCAGTGCAGAGTTGAGGTGGCCAGACTCCATCCCTGATTCTCTGAAACCAGAAGATGGCATTTAAGTTCTGTCTTTTCTTTGGTATGGTACGTGCTGCCATTGCCAATTGGTAATTATTAAAGTACCAATAAATGAAAAACCAGGTAGAATATAATCATCACTATATTTCACCCTTGATTTTAACCTTTGGCCCATGATTTGTATAAATTAAGCAATATATGACAAAAGAAAAAGTTAAAACTCCTGTGGTAGTTAGGAATGCTTAATCGACCAAAAACTCAATCATGAGCAAGCTTCTCTCTTATCTACTAGTTTATGCATTCAGTATATATTTTGTGAAAGTTTTTAATGGTTTAGTTTTAAAGTGGAAGAAAAGTATTTTAAATTGTTTTATTTAAAATAGAAATTGAAAGAAATATTAAAATTCCAAACCGATTTCTGCCTGGTACCAAGACTTATGCTTTATACCACTACCTTTGACTGCCTCCCTTTAAGAAGTTAAAGTAATTTTCCAACACATTAATTAAGGATGTTATTATTAAGGATATTATGCTTAAATAAATTTGAACAAAACAGACTTATGTTCCTTAGTTTAGTCTTAATAGATCAGAACCAGTATTGTTTTTCTTACACTTTAAATTATGTATTACTATGGTTCATCATGTAAAAATATTTATTTAATATACCATGTCTTAAATACACTGAAAATAATTTTTCTACACTTTAAAATATTCGTTTACATATACACAGCCAATAAAGCTCAGAAGAATATCTTCTAAACCTTTGAAAAAAATGACTTTTTCAATTATAATGAAGACTAAATTATATATTCATATTTTAACATGTTTTTGAATAATCTGTTAATTTTCATATCTAAAGGATTACTTACTAAATGTTTAGGATGTTTCCTCTACCTAAAGACACTATTATCCATCAGGTAGAATTTCCATTTCAGAGGTTTAGAATATCATTGTGTCCCACATTTTATTCATGTCCTTTCTCTTCCCTCCTGTACAAAGTTGTTTTGAATCTTAAAACAGCTTGCTTTCCTTCATTTTCAGAGAGTGAAACTTGTCTTGGCATGGAATCAGGAAAAGAAAGCCAACATAAAAGAGAGACCTGCGAGAGCAGTCCCTGCTGTAATCAAATGGACAGGCAGGCAGATCCCCTGAGCCTTCCGGTAACTGCAGGGAAGGGCCACACGGAGGAGCCGCTCTGCAGCGCTGAAGCCACACTGGAGCTCCACGCCCTGCCCTTGGAGTCGGCAGGGAGCAGGTCTGGGCTACTCTCTTCAGGGAATGCTTGTGAGGATGACAGCCGCTTGCAGCTGACTCAGTCAGAGGCCAGCCAAGATGTGGCCGAAATAGAGGGCATTGCTAAAGACCCTAAGGTTTCCAGCGAGTCAGTGATAGAGCCATTGATTTTACCAGGCTCTGATCATATACCTCCTGCGTTGATTTCTGAGGGTAAATACTCACAGACGCAAAGAAAGGAACTCCAGTTGCTACTTGAGGATGCTTCTGAGGCGTTGCCCACAGACCAACTTGAGAACAATGAATTAAATGAGCTGCAGCAACCTGATCTTACAGACAGTGATGGAAAATCACCACAGGGGCAGACTGACTCAGAGGGCTCTGAGAGTGTACTTTGTGAAAATAATCAAGTATCTGATTTAAGTACAGTGCTTCCAGAAGTGTATATGGCCCCAGAGGAACAGGGAGATAAACACGAACAAGTCAGTAAGGAAACAGAAGACTATTTGAACAGCCTTTTAGAAGAATGCTTAAAAGATACTGAAGATTCCCTTTCATATGAAGATAACCAAGAGGAAGACCCTGATCTCCTTCAAGATCTTTCTCCTGAAGAAGAATCCTATAGTCTACAGGAGAACCTGCCTTCTGATGAAAGCTGTCTTTCTCTCGATGATCTTGCAAAAAGGATAGAGATTGCAGAGGTAAATTTGAGATTTAATATAAATATGATTTAATATAAAATACGATTAAAAAGATGAAATTTGAAAGCACATATATGCTAAATATTGCCTTGTTTTTATAAATTTTCCCAGGCCTCAAACATGAGGGGGAAATTTAGTTAACATAAATTTTTAATCATTATGTATAATCATGATGTTTATACGTCAAAAATTATATTGCATGCCTCTAGTATAGTATTATGTACCTCATTTTTCATATTCTTATGATTTTTATTTGGCGGTCCTGGGAATTATTAACAAAATAAGATTAGTTACATTCTTGTAAGGAAATCTTATTTTTCTTCTCATACATCTAGAAGATAAAATATATACTCACTGTTTCTTCTTATTATTAAGTATTTTAAAATTCTTTAAAACAGTATAATACAATGAAGGAAACATTTTAAAATACAATAAGAGTAGGAGATACTGAATGGATTTATAAGCTCTAGGTTTGAACAAACTTAATACTTACTGCTTGACTAAGTCAAATATTACAAATAATTCAAAGTTTTAAAGTTTCTCTAAACAGTAATTAAGCTAGTCAAAATCCAAAAAAAGGGGCAGGAGAGAATATCAAGATGACCATCCTCCTTTGTTTGATAATACAATTTTTTAAAGTTCAAGGGGGAAAAATAAAGCCATACCAAAACTATAGCGCCTCAGGAAGGCAGCCTGACATAGTGGAAGGAGCAGAGTCTGGAGAGCCTTAGTTCAAATACTGACTCCACCAGTTATCAGCCTTATGGAGTTACTATCTAACTCTCTAATTCTGTTTACTTCTCTGAGAATTAGGTTGCTAATTACTTTTCTTCTTCTTCATCTTATATTTTTTTCCAAATAAGCTTTTAATTTAATTTATGTCCATTTCTAATTCTGCATTATCACTGGAAAAAAAACCCCATCAAGTAGAAAATGGAAATGTAACAAAGACAAAATAGACAACAGAATACATATGAAAATGGAACCCTGTGGAAGCTTTCTAAGATGATTACTGTTATATGACTAGCTTCCTTTATTGCTATTTATAGTCAGTTCTCCATCAACTATGATTTTTATTCTGAATTTTTTTCTTGACAAAATTAGATAAAATAGTCATTCTTTTGTTTAACTAGATCTTTTTATTGCCGTTTATAGTCAATCCTCCATAAACTGACTTTTCTTAATTTTTTCTTAAAATTATTTAGTAGTGCTTAATGAGTACAGAGTTTCTGTTTGGGGTGATGAAACTTTTAGAAGTAGTTTTGGTGGTGGTTATACAACATTATGAATGTAATTAATGCCACTGAATAGTACACCTAAAAATGGTTTAAATGACAGTTTTCTGTTTTATATATATATACATATTTTTAAACCATAATTTTTAAGAATAGTAAAAAAAAAAATTTTTAATACAGCTAATAGTATAACACTGGACCTTCTCTTTTTTATTTTCATCAGACCTCTGGTACAGGGAATTATCAAGGCAGAAGTCACAACCATATTCAAATCTAGCTGTAATAACAAAAAGTTACTGCTATCTGACTGCTTATTTTCAAGTTGAATCAAGCTGACCTTATGTATGGTCTAATTTTACTTTTTTAAGTATGAACTGTGAAGAAGGACCAGAGTACTCCTGTTGAGTCTCCCTGCCTTAAAGGACATTTGTGGTGTAGAATTACTGTTAAATTAACATTGTACTACAACTAAATGGAATAGTCCTTCCTCAAACCCGTAATGTCGGTTTTTCCTGTAGATAACACCTAGCTAGAGGTGGAAATTATATGTATGAACATTTTAAAGTTGTCTTTCCTGTGAAGTTACTTTTTATACATGATGGTCCCCTTTCCTAAAAATCTATTGGTCTGTTAAGTTATACTGTTTAAAAAAACCCCAAAGCTACATACGACTAACAAAACTAGTTTACTTTCCTATGATAATGCTAAACAGATTGTTTCTGAATACTTCCTTCTCTGTTCTGAAAAATATACCTTTAATAAAATCTGCCTGTGTCAGGAAAGGTTTTTAAAATTTCAAAACTGGAAATCACTATGCTTACTACTTGCTTAGTACCCTAAGAATGAAGTTTTGAGCTAAGTAAAATGTCCAGTTAATAGTGGGTTTGCTTATAAGTACAAACTTCTTTTTAATCCAAACACTTTATTTCGTGCTTTCAATGTAATTGTATTAGGGATCTCTTCATGTGTCAGGTGCTGAGGATAAGTGAGGAATCAGATGAAGTTCTTGGCATTTGGGGACTCTGCTGCCACATTGTGCATACTTTTGTGAATATAGGATACAGAACATAATTTCTTAATAACTAAATAATGTTCACGAATAATATTTTTCCTGCCCTCAGGAACCACTGAGGCTTGTGAGCCTGCTTTTCTCCACATCACTGTGCTATCCTGTGAGTCCTTCTCTCCCAAATCTATCATTTCTTCCTGTGAGTGACTCTGCCCCTTACAGATTTCCTTACTGCTTTTCACTCTTTCTACCACTGTGTTTATCGTAGAATATAATAGTATGTTCTCTCATTGCCATTTTTCCCCTTTTTTCTTGTATCTCTGCTTTCATTTTCCTGTCATTTCTGCATTGCTCAGCTCTGGCTTCAGTGGAACTTGGCCTTGATAACCATTACCAGCACGGTGGAAGTGTCTGTTGTGTTTTTTCTTAAACAAGTAGTTTCATCACATAAAGTGAAGTTTTTGTATAAAATCTCATAGAGAACTGAAAACATGTACACTAATTTAATTCATTAATATAGAGACATGTGGGGGACGTCCCTGGCAGTCCAGTGGTTAAAACTCTGGGCTTCCACTTCAGGGGGCACGGATTTGACCCCTAGTCGGGGAACTAAGATCCCACATGCTGCATGGCACGGCCAAAAAAAAAAAGACGTATAAATGAAACTTTTCTAGGTTTGGGAAGCTTTTCCAAAACCAGAGTAATTTTGCTAAGTAAAACGATAGCTTAATATCTGAAGCATTGGTGTTCTTTCTTATGTAAAAAAGGTGACATACTGTCATCAAAAGTATAATCTCTACTGTTTTAAAAAAGCATCAAAAACATTTATGCTCATTTCATAGATTTTTGTTTTTTTAATATTTTATTTATTTATTTGTTTATGGCTGGGTTGGGTCTTTGTTGCTGTGCACAGGCTTCTCTAGTTGCAGTGCGTGGGCTTCTCATTGCGGTGGCTTCTCTTGTTGCGGAGCGCGGGCTCTAGGAGCGTGGGCTTCAGTAGTTGCAGCACGCAGGCTCAGTAGTTGTGGCGCACGGGCTTAGTTGCTCCATGGCATGTGGGATCTTCCCGGACCAGGGCTCGAACCCGTGTGCCCTGCATTGGCAGGCGGATTCTTACCCAGTGTGCCACCAGGGAAGTCCCCATTTCATAGATTTTTTAAGAAAAAAAGTTTATCACATGTAGAGTGTCAGCAAGTTAGAGAGATTCACTTATTTATCCCCTCATTAAGTAATTTTTATATGAGTAACTTCTGTGTGAGTGTCATGATATTACAGTTGCAGTGATTAAAAATTCAGAGAAGGATGCTGTATGTATGAAACCTCAGTCTAACAGTTGTCTGGTGGCAAGTGTTACCTGTTTGCTGAATTTGAGTATCCCAGTTTTTAGAAAAAGATGAAATTTTATCCCAAAACCCATAATATACTGACATTATTTTTTTTTTAATTTTATTTTTTGCGGTACAGGGGCCTCTCACTGTTGTGGCCTCTCATTTTTTGGAGCACAGGCTCCAGATGCGCAGGCTCGGCGGCCATGGCTCACGGGCCCAGCCGCTCTGCGGCACGTGGGATCCTCCTGGACCGGGGCACGAACTCGTGTCCCCGGCATCGGCAGGCAAACTCTCAACCAATGCGCCACCAGGGAAGCCCCTGACATTATTTTAATGTCAGAATCCAAACCCCTTTTACCCAGGAACCTAGTAATGCTAATAAATCATTGACTTGCTGTGTTCTGGAACCTGGGAGGGTTACATTGTCTTCCCTTTAAACTCTTTAACTGTTCCTAGCATCAAAATCTTAGAGAGGAAATATGTTATACAAGTTCAAGTTGGCATTAGGATCCAACCTCATATTGCTAATAAAAGTCCACTCAACGTACAGTAGGCTGTTTGTTACATGTGTGGGGGTGAAGGAGTTGTTTTGTTTTCTAAATAAGTAACACGTCAAGTATTGGGTAAATTTTACAAAAAGTAATCTATTCACATTGAAAATAGTCATAGTATGTAATTCTGAGGTCCCTTTGTGAGCAGATTTTAGCAACATGATGTGCCATATGGAAATAAACCATTCATTTTTCTTCATTTAACATATGTGTGTGTGATCTGTTTGCAGAGATGTCATATGTTCAGAAAACTATTTTAAATGCTTCAGATTCAAGGAATTTTTGTTTTTAGAAATAATATCCTAATGTGATAGCTGGAGAAGAAGCCACTTTACTACTGCTTGGGTCTTTAAAAAGCTTTCAATCTGAAAGAGGCGCAAAATATGTTCCCTACTCCCTCTGTCTTTATTGGCAACATTTACTTAGATATCTTCAGGTCTACCTGTCTCACAAGAAACAAAATAGGGGAGGACATAACCTAGAACTTTCTGATGGAGAGAAAGATGAGAGCCCAAAATTGGTTTTGCGTTTGTCTTCAGAGAAGCTGTCTAATCTAAGTGACTTCTGTGCAATATTCATCTCTGTCTCTTGGCCAAGATCAGGAAATTTAAGTTACATTAAGACTAGCCACTGTGGGATTCTCTTACCAAGTTAAGATGGGAGGCTGGGACTAAGCAGTAGGACTTTATGAAATCATATAGTTAGCTGGTCTTTGGATCTTAGACAAAGGAGGGTCTTAGAAACAGCAATCATGGTGTTCTTGAATGGCTCTTTTAAGGGGAGCAGGGGAAGTCCAGCTTCCTCACAAAAGAGGAAATATAGTCTTCCAATGACATAAGAAGGTTCATGGAAAATGTTTGACCCAGGACTTATGTAA